AATAACATTATTTTCATTATATTTCATTGAAAAGAATATTAATTATTAATATATTGTGTCTTTATATTATATTATAGTCACAAAAATTAAGAAGGGGTGGAAAGAAATATAAAAAAAAATATATTATCTTATACTAATACTGCATAGATATTAACTATACACATAAATACATATAATACATGATATCAAACGTTGTCGTGAGATGTGAGTGAAAGAAGAGTCACCTGTACGTTTTGGAAGTGACTACAAGAGGGTTGAAAAAAAGAAAATAAGATGAAAACTATCTCTATCTATCTTTATCTATCCTATCACTCTCTTCTTCTACTCTCCCTCTCTCTATCTATCTCTTACTCCCCCTTTTCCAACGAATAAAAAGATAGAAAGGATATTCGTGTTGGTGAGTTCTGGAGTTATTCCAAAGTCGGTGGAAAAGTTTCGTCTAACGTCTTGGAAATGTCTCAAAAAGAAGAAGCGTAAGAGAAGAAGAAGAAGAAGAAAAAGAAGGAGGAGGAGGGGGGGGGAGGAAAAGAAAAAGTAGAAAAAAAACAAGTAGAGAAACTCGTGCAGAGGGACCCACCACCCGCCGTGTGCTCTAAGTGTATCACATAGTAAATTTAGTTTTCCAACCTCCGTTTCTAGCCTTCCACCATACGATCCACCTTCCAAACGAACACACTTACCCACCCACACATATATCTAAACTGAGTTCTCTCTCTTTTTCTTTCTCTATTTCTCTATCCTTTCGCCTTGAAGGGCACAACCCGACCTGGAGAGATTACCCGCGCTAGAACGTTCACGTTGTAGGAAGAAGAGAAGGTGAAAGAGGAGGAGGCCAGAGTTTGCCGACGTTTCCTAAGGGGATCGTCGGCCATCTTTGAAATATGGCGGACACGGATCCGTTCGAGCGAATCTGGCCGATCAAACGGGAGCTAAGAGCTGCGCTTTCGTCCGAGTTAACTCAATCTTCGAGCTTTCTACTATTTTCTATCTCTTTCTTACTTTCTTTCTCTCATTCGTTCTCCTGTTTCAGGTCATTCTCTGTTTCCCCTTAACAGTCTACAAGTCTATCTCCATTTCTTTCTAACCTCAAACCAAATGCCTCTTCCATTTCTTTTACTTTTTCTTCTTTTTCTCTCTCTCATCCAGCATTGGAATCTTATTCAGCACTCCCTATCGACCACCCACGACCGTTCCAATTGATGAACTCGCGACAACAGCCCTTTAGATACTTTTACAAGCCCAGATAACATCCCCCGAGAATAGGGTTGTTCTCGTTCGCTCATCCTACCTACCGATCCATGCCAGTTGCTTTCAAGTATACCGGCTTTTATAAAAGACAACATACGATATCTGAAATATCGAGGAGTGCTTTCAAATGAGCCGTGTTAAGGAGAAAGTAGACCCTTTTAAAACTTCCTAAAACTAACGTCTGACGTCAATCATCTATCTTCATTCGATTTCAAATTAGATCTATTACTTCAATTTTATTACAGTTACACTCTTTTAAATACATAGTGTACATATGTCTAATTTTACGTTTTTAATATTTAATACGTTCTTTATATTTTGTTATTATTTTACAAAAAATATAATATTATACATCGTTTATGTTTTATTATATCAAAGTCGCAATAATTGAAAGGACGAGGAAGGGTTGTAAAAGTTAGAAAGAAAATTGCAAGAGTTAATCTTTTCGAATAATACTAACAACATTTATTTTATCATCTTCATTCTCTAATCTCGTCCAAAATATCTAACAAATCAAAACAGAAACCCCCCGTTATCTTTGCGAAATCGTATCAACGATCGACTATTGTAACAAAACAAAACAAGATACACATTCAATACAAGCATTTGGTAATATCGTAAAAGACAAGCTAGAGAGAGAGAGAGAAAGAGAGAGTGCGTTAGATGCGTTAAAAAAAATGATTACTCCCCCTTTTGGTAAACGATAACGCGAGGATATATTTTGGTGGTTAGGTTCAACGGGGTGGGGTGGGGTGGGGTGGGT